GGTTTTGGTTAATCGGTGATTTATTATACAAAAGAACACTTGATGATGTTCTTCTTCAGTTCTTGGGGCCTGAAGAGGCAGTGGTTGTCATGCTTGGGGCCCATTGAAAAATGCGACTCTAAAGGAGGTGATGGATTTTGTTTGGGATCATATCCTTTTCGTTACGGAATTCCACACACTATTCTGACAAATCAAGGACTGATGTTCATTGGTGAAAGGTTTGTGGATTTTCCGGATGAGTTCAATATTAAATTACATCATTCTTCACCTTATTACTCACAGGAGAACAAAAAAATTGAACTGGCAAACAAAATTATTGTCAACATTATTAAGAAGATTATTAACGATAACCCACAAAAATGGTATACCGGCCACAAGCCTTGTGGGTGCATCAGAATAGATGAAATTCGGCTACAGGTTTCTCGCCTTATTAACTCACTTTCGGGTAAGACAGTCCTGCCAGCCAAAGTAAAGGTACCGACCGCCCGAACAACTTTGACAACAGTTGACGGCTAGGAGAAAACAAATAAAAGAACGTTTCAGCAGTTGGAACAATTGGATGTGTCTCGGATGGAGGCCATTGATCATATGCACCAAGAAAGCTAGACCCAAATGAGGTATTACAACAAGAAATTTAGGTGACTTGGTTTGAAAAACTATTCTGCCAACCTATGAGAAATTTGATCAATTGGAGAAGTGGTCCCCAAATTGGGAGGGGCTTTATATAATTCATAAAGAAATAGGTAAAGGAGCTTTCATCATTATTGATCAAAAAGGAAAACCCATACATGATTGTATCAATGCTAAATACTTGAAAAAGTATTATCCTATTTTTTCAGGTCACAGGACCGACTGAACGGTCACCTTATTTTGAACCCAGTATAGGGGTTCAGATTTGGTCGGGACCCGTCTAATCTTCGTCTGGGATAGTGATGCATGGGGTGTCATCGTCATCATCAGATTTTGGGGTCTAAGGAATAACAACTAAGGGGGGTTTTTTCGTCCAGTAGGTCATCCAAATTGGGACTGTATCATTCTCATTGTTCATGCATTTCTTAGAGGGTTTTGTCAGTCCTTTTCTTCATATGCTCCAGTGTTTGATGTTTTCTATCAAGGAGTACACGTAAGTGGGTGAAGGCTGCTCTTTGTTGAGAAAATTCTCTTACCCAACTGAGATAAGGAATAATGGCCATTACGTGATGTTCTATCAGGTCCATATGGTGTTCCAAATCGGGGAAACGGCTGAGCATGTCTTTCAAAGTATGATAGCTCTCCACCACTGTTTGCATTAAGCGAGTAGTTTGGTGTAAGGTACGACATCCTCTCTGAAAAAAATTGAATTTGAAATCGAGTTGCTTCAGAACTTGCACAAAATCTTCGACATGAACAAAAACAAGGTGTTGACCAACAAAAAATGGTTGAAGAATGCCTTCCTAGTTTTTGGTTAGAACATGAATGCGAGGTTTTTGGGAGGACATGTTGGGTTTTTCTTAAGGGACCTTATATTGAAGAACATTTCTTTAGAATTTTAAAGATTCAATAGGCTATTTATTCAGTTGGTTTTCTATGTTTTTGCTGCTTAGGGGATCGTAGTTATGGATTAGCCAGGTATTCGCTAGGAAAAAAATTGAAGGAAAAAGAAGGATATGTCATTAATTGGGTAAAGATTTACAAAGTCTTTACAAAAGAGAGTCAATTGCAGCTAGGATGTCTGACCATTTCCCATTCAATCGGGCCGCATGTCTTTGGGCAACGGTCGAGGTCCTCTACACTCTCTGTTGACTTAAGCGGGCAACTTCCTACTCACGAGCAAGATCTGCCCGATGACTTGATTGGCTCTGTATGATCTGATATTCGTCAGATAGACACTTGTTCATTTCCTCAAGCTAATTCTCTTGTCTTTCCAATTCTTTTTGCAGGCACTTAATCTCTCGTTTATTTCTTTTTATGTCTGCAGAAAGTTGTTCCTTTGATAATTGAAGGGCTTCTATTTGTTGTTGCGACAGGCCCAGTGCTGAATCCACATCAACAATGGTTTGTTGTATTATGTTGGTTGTGGGGAGGATGATCGGGGGTCCTGGTTCGCATCCGATTGGAGGAGTGGCAAGTCCACGGTAACTTCAGATAGTCTCTCAAGGATCCGGTCGAGCATTTGGCATGCAAGAGAGTTAGTTTTCTAGCTGCTCCGCAGACTGAGGAGACCATCCATCAGTTCATTAAGTTCACCCTGAGTAGAGCTGGCAAGAGTTCTTCCGGTTACCTTGGAGAGCGCCCGCCAAATTTCGGTGGAAAAAGACACGGCGGAGACTGGGTTTAGGAATCCTTGGTCCTACAAAACGAATCGTGGGTAAGATTTCTACTGATATGTTGTTGCAAGGAAAGTGGTGACGAATTCGGTTACCTAGCCTAAGGCGGCCGTTTGGGTTGATGGGGCCAAAATAGTTGAAGGATTTGGTGGAGGTTGAGGCCTTGTCGGAGCTGTCAGCATCCACGCCGAATCCTCACGAGTTGGGGTTACAATCTTTTCCTTGGCTAGGGATTGGGTAGGCCCCCCTGAGTTGGACTCGCGGCATTTCCCCCCGGCACGGAAGGATTAGATTCCTAAAATGAAAAACCTTTTGAGTATTGGGGAGTAAGTGATTTAGACTGAATAAGGGAACTCACAACACATAATTCATCGTCTTTTGCACGGGGGAATTGAGGTTGCGTCAGGGCCCCTTCGGGCGGTATTTACCTTTCGGCTTCTTCTGGCAGCCCTTGCTTCCTAACCGGTGGTTCTGCACCCTGGTTGTTCATTGGCTAGTTAACTATTCCCGAACCCTCATATGGAATTTCAACTACCTGAGGTAAAGTATAGTGTGTGAGCGAAGCAAGGAAAAAGTAATAGTTAAAGGAAGGAGGATACCTGAGGAGGAATTCAGTCTCCAATTTTAGTAGGAGCAACTGATTCTAGTTTGCGGGCACCAACGGGTGGGGCTTGCCTCTCGACCATTGCCCCTATACCACGGTCGGTCATTGGCAGGTCCACTGGTTAGATGGCTTCTCTCCGAATTTTTTGCTCCCGGTATTAAGATCTAGTGTTACGATATTGGAATACCAACTGCAATGGAATTTGCAGAAGTACCACGGAAGCAGGGGTTTGTTCGATCGGAGGGTTCAAAGTCGGTCTGATGGTAGGAGGAAGTTGTTGTTTGCCTGTCGCAGGGTTAGCTGGGTCAGGTGAGGGGACGGTTGGAGTGATGGTCGGATTGACAACAACTGGAAAAAAAGAGAAGAATTTTTTGAAGTAAGTAATATAAACGTCTTTTTAAGCTTAATGTCACCGGGGGGGAGGGGGAAGAATTTGGAAACGACGCAATGTTACCTGCTAAAGCCAACAGTGCAACGGATGTTTGGAACTTGGGGAAGAGGATCAAATCCACTGGCAGGGAGGCCATAAATTCCTCCCTGGCCCTCCGACGTTCCTTTAAGTCGGCTGGTTGGGCAGCCACGGTGGTCTTCACTTTCTTGTAGGAGGAGCTGCCTCCTCCAACTTGAGTGCCCTTCATTTGTTCTAGTTTTGGGTGTCCCAGTGCGACCTGCCCTGTTAGGGGTTGAGGGAGTAGAATCATTTGGGACTCCGACTGAGCGGCTGAAGAAAAAAACATGCTCAGACAGTCGGTTGTGGTTCTCCCACCATTCGCTATAGGCTCGGATGGTATTAGGGCAGTCGTGGAATGGAGCGTATGTGTGTTTTGTAAGGTAGGCAGTGAGGTGGTCAGTATATGGTTTGATAAAATGATCGGTGACAGTGTTTTGGGTGTAAGTGCGGATGAGGTGGGGGTTGAAAACCAAGTCTAGGATGCCTTGGCGGCATTCGAACTGACGAGCCAAGTAATGGGGATTGTAACGGAAGACAGTATATGCCTTTTTACTCTTATATATTTTCTTGCCCGAAAAAAAAGGATCGGGGTTTCAAGGCCGCATCCCAAGAATAAATGAAAGTGGAATGTGGTAGATTGTAACAGATACAACAATGGAATAGAAGGAGACAGGTAGAGGGGTGGAGTTGCAAAGGCTGATAAATATGGATAAGGATAATAATCGGAGTTAGAGAAGTTAGTATTCAAAATGTCCTTATGCCCTTTACGATCGGAACAAAGGAAAAGATAGTATTGACCGAACAAAATGTCCGAGTCAAGGATGAAGGGAGGTCGGCTGGATAAGATGGTCGGGAAATACAATCGGAACCAAGATTGCAAAAACCAAACATGACCAGAAAAAATTGTATCAAGTTTGGCAGAATTGGAGAGTTTCGGGCTAGTTTTGGCAAGGCCCTCGAAAAGCCAAGCCAGAAAAAAGGTACTGATTGACAGAAATCGGCCATTGGCAAGGTGGATGACAAGGTTGGTGTGGGTGTAGGTAATGGATTTGGAAGACGGGTAGACAACGTACCTGTAGGGCCCGCATATAATAAGTTATTATCAATCTAAGTAAATTTGGTTTATTCGGAAAGAAAATGGAAATATGTACCTACAGAGCCAGTATAAGAGGAAGACAACATGCTCTTCATCAGTCACTGGGGTATCTTTGGCACCGCAGTGCATCTTGACATACGTTCCCCAAGCTACCACTTTATTGTTTGGCATGGCTTTTATGTTCCATGAGGGGTGGTCGGCCTTTGGTTCAAAACCCTCCAGTGTTCCGACTACTAGGTCTTTCCCCACTATCAGAAGATGGGCTATCATTGATACGTCCAGTAAGTTCGGACCAATGGGTCTTGATGGCAGTAGGAAGGCACTAACCTTTGAGTCTCAGAATGAGGTCATTCCCAGGATACTGGTGTCCTAGATGTTGAAAGCTTAGCAAGACATCAGAATGGCTTTGTCCAGTCCTTGTTGCCGCCATTGCTGTCCAAAGCTTTTTTCTATCCTTTTATACCGGGTGCAGAACTCGTCTTTGGGATCTAGAAGGTTGGTTTTGATCCCATCCCAAAGCCGTGTAGCGTTGAATGCCCCATCATGAATGGGAAGGCGGAAGTTGTGCTGAAGGAAGTTCAGGGTTGGGGCTCCACCCTCCACGGTGGTGATAAAAGGGCGCACCACTGGAGTAGCGGCCGGAGATGAGTTTAGAGCGGGGTGAGAAGCGGACAAGGGTGAATGGAGTATTAGGCAAGGTGGGTCAATTGACCCACCAAAAAAAAAAATTAAAAATAACTAATTATTACTGAAATTATAATTTTATGTTTATATTAAAAACCAATGGCGTTATTTCCACAAATCCATCAAATAAAAATAAAAATAATACTCAATTATCATTAAAATTACATATTTACCCCTAATTTAGTTTATTAGTTTTATATTTATTTTTCATCTTCTTCCTCTTTTATTCTAATTTTCAGTCAGGGATTCACCCAACTTCACAGACGCGATTAATTTTAATTTTTATCTGCTTTTCACCTCTTCCGTTCTTGAATCTTTACTTGCACCCTAATTTACACCAATACCTTTGACAGTTAATTAATTTTATTTATTATTTAGAATGAATTGGAGGTAATTTGGTTGATGTCCGCTGTCTAAAATAAGTTTTTTTTTTTTTTTTTTTTTTTTTTTAATGGTATGTGGAATTTTTTATATCATATTTTGTTTAGAGTTTTAATCTTTGAGAGTTTATTATGGTTTGTGGAATTTTTTAGAATTTATCATTCAATACAATTTGTATTATATTATCAATAATTTTATGCCTTTGTGTTTGTGATATTGTTGTGATGTTCTTTTGCTAATTTTTTTTTATTAATTCTGAATTTTAGCGTTTCGAAAAGAAGAGGATCAATCAAAGCCAAATTTCAAATTTTTTTTTCTAAAAAAGTTCACCAAGACAGAGAAGAGCCCTTTGAATTAAGTTCTCCAGCGTCTTCTCCCTTAAATGATTTTTCATCTGATAAGCACAAAGACATTCAAGATCAAGATAAACAATGCATCAAAGTTAATTCAACTCCGAGTCATCAAGTAACATTGAATCAATGTATGTTTATGATCTTTCACATGATCCGGGAAAAAGAAGAAAAATTATTGATTTTCATCCGAATGATAGAGATATGATTAGAAGAGCATAAATTCAAAGGCAACCTTGTTAACTTGAAAATCACTTGTTTCCTCAAACTGTATTTTCGGGTAACCGTCGCTTTCTCCCTAGATGGTTTGAGAAATACAAATCTTGGCTTGAGTATAGTGTTGAAAAGGATGCATCCTTTTGTTTTGTGTGTTACTTATTCAAGGATGATAACTCAACTGATGGAGATGCTTTTATTGGTGCGGGTATTTGAACTTGGAATAGAAGTTAAGCATTTGCTAAGCATGTGGGTGGAGTGCTCACAATCAAGCATTAGGAAGATTTTATGATTTCAAGAATAAAAAATCTTCGGTTTTATCTGTTTTGTCTAAGCAATATGAGCAATCAACAAGTGCTTATCGTTTGTGGTTAGAAGCTTCAATTGAATGCTTGAAATGACTTTTGCTTCAAGGATTGGCTTTTCTTGGTCATGATGAGAGTGAAGGATCATTGAATAAAGGTAACTTTTTGGAACTTTTGCATCTAGTTTTAGTGCATAATTCTGATTACCAAAAAGTGGTTTTGAAAAATGCTCCTGGAAATTGTCAATTGATTGGTCCTTCAATTCAAAAGGATATAATTAATGCTTGTGCAAAAGAGACAACTAAAGCAATTATTGAGGAACTAGATGGTGGTTTTTTTTTATTCTTGCTGATGAGTCTACAGACATTGCTGATAAGGAGCAAATGGCTCTTTGCTTGCGATATGTTAATAAAAGAGGAGAAGTAAATGAGAGATTTCTTGGTATTATGCATGTCGGTAATACTACTTCTTTGACTCTAAAGAATGCAATAAAGTCACTGCTAATGGAACACTCTTTAAGTCTATCTAGTTCGAGGCCAAGGATATGATGATGCTAGTAACATGCGAGGGTCAATTAATTGTTTGCAGACTTTAATTCTGAAAGAATTTTCAAGTGCTTATTATGTCCATTGTTTTGCTCATCAACTTCAATTGACTCTTGCTGTTGTTGCTCAAAATAATAAAGATGTTAGTTGTTTATTTAATGATGTAGTTGTTTATTTAATGATGTTCTTGCACATTTGTTGAATTTTTTTTTGGGGGGGGGGGGGTTCACCCAAAAGAAAAAAAATTCTTCGAGAAAAAACAAGTTGAAATTGTCATGCAAGCATTGTTTTTGGGGGAAATCGAATTAGGAATAAGTTTAAATCAAGAGCTTGGATTAAGTAGGCCTGGAGATACTCGTTGGGGATCACATTTTAAAACAATTTTAATGTGATTAATTTATTTTCTTCAATTCTTGAATCACTTGATGCCATTGGAGAAGTTTCTGATATAAAAGACAAGAATAAAGCTGAGTTACTTACACACTTAATGTTGTCATTTGATTTCAGTTTCGTGGCGCACTTGATGTTGTCAATATTTGGAATTACAAATGAACTAAATTTGGCCTTGTAGAAAAATGGTTGATGTAACTAAGAAAAACCTTCTAGATTTGAGAGAGAATTGATGGGACGATTTCATGGAAAAAGTTATATCATTTATTTAAGCATGAAGTGAAGATTCTTGATCTGAAGGAAAAATATGTTACTATGGGGAGGAGGTGTTATCATGGAAATAAGTCTCCAAAAGTGAGAAATCTTCATCATTTTCGAGTTGAAGTATTCTAGAGTCTAATCGATCTACAATTGCAAGAACTTGAAAATCGATTCAATGAGGTAAGTAAAGAATTACTGATGTGTATGTCTTGCTTTCTTCCTTCTAATTGGTTTTCTGCTTTTGATAAAAAGAGATTGCGACAGCTTGGAGAATTTTATCCTACATAATTTTAAGAAGCAGAATTGATGGTTTTTGAATATTCATTGGGTAATTTTATTACTCATATTCGATGTGATGAGAGATTTTGGGATTTGAAGGATCTAAATGAACTTTCTATGAAACTTGTTGAGACAAAGAAAAATGAAACACATTCAAGGGTCTACTTGTTGTTGAAATTAGTGTTGCTTCTTCCATTAGCAACCACAACCGTAGAAAGATCCTTTTCAGCGATGACTATCATCAAGAAAAAATTAAGGAATAACATGGGAGATCAATTATTGAATGATTATTTAGTTACTTTTCTAGAAAGAAGGTAGGTGTCCAAATGTCCAATCAAGTCGGTATCCATAAGGCGAAGTGGTTTGGATTTGGTGGGCCGACTGTCGACTTGGTTTTTGGGCTTTAGGAAGACAGGTTAGGGGCCGCTATGATTCGGCTAGTGTACCTGAAAACTAGTAAGCCATTCTAGCAAATTTAAAACATCCGATTTAGGGCGGTTGAAGACTCAGGTCCAATCGTCAGGCGGTTACCCCATGATCCGGTAATCGAATTAAACCGTCCAAATGGGTGTAGACGAACTGGTAAATAGTCAAATCTAGAGATGGGGCAAGGGGCCGATATTTTTTTTTGAATCAGAAAAAACAACTTCCTGACTTTTTTCTTCATTATCTTTTCATTGCTTAATATTAGTATTATCTTGTCTAGTGTTTAGAGATATGTAATATCAAGCACAATTTATCAATTTCGTAATCTATTTTCGGATTTTACTTTAATTTTGTTGGGTTTCATGCAGAAACAAATATCAATATATGTAAAATAAAAATAAACGGCTAAACTAAATACAACTATAAAAATAAAAATTTTAAAATAATAAATTTAATTATGAGAAATTGATTGTTTCAAGGATTCAATCTGAAAGTTCAATTTCTTTATTATTAGAAAACTTCTTAGCATCCAATTTTTCCTTTAATAAAGTTCAAAATTATATCAAATTAATTTAATATACAAAAAATTAGAAAATAAAGAAAATAAGAAAAATATTTTCATTTTTAAGGAGTAATTTTTAAAACCCATGCAAATTTCTAATCCAATCATTACCATAAAATAATATTTTCACCGTATCAACCTACATAGAAGCCCGATGATGATCAATAAATCTACCACCGGCGCTAAATGTAGACTCAGAGACCACCGTGGTTATAGAAATAGATAATATATCACTTTTCATTCTTGCCAATACTTGAAACCTCAACAATTCTTCTTTCCACCAACCCAAAACATCAAAGTTTGTATTGGCATCACAATCATATCTACTTTCACTCAAATAAACATTCAAATCAGATTTTTGTGGCGGGCTTTATTAGACTTAATAACGTCCATATGAAACATTATTTTTTCAATTAAAACTTCACTTTCAACTCCACTAGACCCTAAAGAGTTAAAAGTCAAAGATCCTCTAATTTCAGAAAGTTTACGTTTCGATGCATCATAGGCCTTTCTTCGGAAGTGGAACTCGTGACATAATTCACCATAAAGATCATAAAAAATCTTCTTGATCTCACTCACATAATTTGAAGCTTCGTCCTCACCATAAATTATTAGAAAAACAAAATCAATAAGCTTCAATTTATACCTTGGATCTAAAATAGTATCCAAAGATATTAACACATTACTATCGCTCAAATACTTGTCAAATTTCTCTTCCATTCTTAATGTCATATACCTTAAATGAGAAGAATAATATGTGAATTTCTCATTAGGAAGCTCTTTAATCCGATACAACTCATGGAGAATATTAGCCGTTGGATATTTAGACCCCCCCATAAATCATATTTGTAATCTCATGAAAAACTTTTAAAAACTGACAAACATCTTCCATTTAGCTCAACTTAAATTCAGTTGACACATAATAAAATCCAACATCAATATCGGTATATCTGGAAATCACATCTTTAAATTGCAAAGCTGAAGCTAACACCATATATGTTCCACTCCATCATGTTTGACAAAAAAAAAAAGATAACTTCTTTGGAGACAAAGAGAGTTGTTCTTTTTTTTTAATGTTGTTAAATTCAATGAGACGCGCTTCAGAAATACTTTATTTCATCTCTAACATAATAAACAATAGAACCAATTTCACTAACACCATCTTGCACCAAAAAATTCAGAATGTGTGCATAACAACAAACATGAAATATTTTTTTCCCAATACTTAATTATTTTCTCAATAATAAATCATCTTTTGATCTCTTCACATACATCATTATAAGAAGCTTTGTCAAGTGTGATACTTAACACTTTATTTTCAATTTCTCAATCAATGAAATATTAACTAAGTGCATCAACAATAATAACACATGTATGTAGGGGTGGCACATTACAAATATTCAACACTTTCTTTTGTAGTATCTAATTGTCATCTACAAAGTGTCCAGTCACCACCATATATTGAACCTTTTGGTTCGAATTTCACAAATTAGTTGTTAGAATAATTCTTGTAGCACTCTTTAATATTGATTTAAACTTTTTTTTTTTTTTTTAAGATTCAAAAGTAGTAATGCAATCTTTCTTCACAGTATGCCTACTAGTCTTTTGATAAAATGGAGAAATAGCTTTAAAAAACTTATTAAAAATGGTATGCTCCACATCATCAGAAAAAAAATATTCATGAGCAAAAATCATATGGAATGCAAGTTTCCGTACCTTAGCATGATCGTATCGATAATTGACAATTGAAAATTTTCTTTTCTAAAGGAGATTTGGTGGTGAAAGAAAGAACATGTTGTTTCAACATAGTAGAGAAATTTCAATCCAACTATCAACGCTTGTGAGTGGTAGTCGTTCCTTTCAGATTTCTTGAGAAAGACCCTTTACAATGAGTGCAATGTACTTTTAGTGACCTACCGGGTTGAGATGTTTCCTTTATACGTTATCACATATATGACTTCTTAACTTACTCTATTTTTTATAAGTCTCCGTATTTTCTTCCATATTTCCTTTTGTTGGCTATCAACAAGAGTCTCTAAATCAACTTCCTCATGCATTTCATCAACAGAAACTTATTCAACATGATGATCAACAAAATCCATGGTAGGAAGAGTAGATAAACCTTGTTGGAATTGACTTTAAAACATAGCTATAATTACAAAGGTGAATAGTATCACACAAATAAATTAATTTCTTTGTATCCATTCATATTTTATTAACATAGAACTTTCAACATAACACCAACTAAAGTCTAAATTCTAAAACATAGATGGACAACCGATCATATAGAAATCCGGCGCGAAAAGTAAAAAAAACTAAATCTTCATAATAACACAAACTTAACTGCAAAAATGAGCAACATGGAACACCATTTGTGCAAGAGAAAGCCTACTGCGTTCGTGAACAATTCAGTTCGTTTAACAGCTCTAACCATTACCTACTTGAAGTTACATGCTTGAAAAGATTGAGGGCTGATGATTACTCTATCATGATCATTATCATCCAATCTTGCACAATTAAAGAACATTGAATATGTCACATTCTGCTCACGGATGATTGTTGTTATGGGTTGTTGTTGTAGTTTGGGTTACACCATATTTAATTAACTAGCCTTTGTCTACATCGAGGGTGTTTGGTCTTTATACTTAGTACATGGTGATAGGTAACTTTTTGTGCAATAGTAGATAGACATAGTTAGAATAGTTGCAATTTGGAGTAATTATTACTGTGTACATAACCGTATATAGTGAGATATTTTCTATGGATGAAAGTCCTCCAGACATAGATCCGAGTGTGATTGAACTGGGTTACCATATTATATGTCAATATTTACTGTATTTTAACTCAACAAAATTAATATTCTATCCCTAAAATCTAACAAGTGGTATCATAGCAAGTTCTTCACAAAGTTTCTTGGTGACAAAAGATGAGATAATATCAGTTCACATGGCCACTAAAGAAAGTGCTTCTGTTTCTAAATTACCCCTATTGGACGGAACATGTTATTCTCTATGGAAGACAAGAATGAACATATTCATAAAAGCCGTAGATGAGAGTGCATGGGAAGTAGTTAAGATGCCTGGATGAAACTTAATTTTCGATCTTTAAAGTAAAACAATAAAATGTCGAAGAAACCAAAGACTGAATAGACAAGGAAAGAAGAAGTAGTTGCACAGGCTAATTAAGAGCTATGAACACTATATTTTCTAAAGTTAATGATAGTTAATTCAAACTCATATCTAATTGTGAAGAGGCTGGAGTTGCATGGATTCTACTTCAAAACATACATAAAGGAACATCTAGTGTTAAATTATCAAAACTTAAAATGATCATCAGTCTACATGAGATGCTATTTATTAATGAGGATAAAAACCATTAGATATTGTTATGACAAGATTCAAGATCTCACTAATATAGCATATATGCTTGGAAAAGTTTATACTGATGAAGAATTGGTAAGAAATATGCTACGATATGTCCTTGTGAAAAATAGGTTGAAAATTAAGCTAAAATCAGCAAAATAGTAATTTGGATTATAATCTCATCAAAAAAGAAATGTAGATATGAATTCGGTAGGTTTAGTTAATTGCTTTAAAATGTAGAAATAATGATTCTTGTTTGAATGGATTGATCTTTTTTTTTTTTGGCATAAGAAATTAGAGGAAGAAAATGATCGGCGCAAGTTATCAATTACAATGACACAAAGATATTAACTAAGTTCTTGGTTCGTCAAAAGATGTTAACTTAAAATTGAAGATATGAGGAAGCTGATCAACATTGTGATGAGTTTGAATCATCATGTGAACTAAGATAATTCGCAATAAAGTTAATGCATGTCACTCTAATATAGAATGTGTATGTTGGCTTGATTTTAGTATGATCTAGATATTTTCTAATAAAATAAACAAGGGTCCAAGTTTTGTGTGGTACCCGTACCTAAAGTAGTTGCCTCAAAGTTGTTATGACCTACTAAAAAGTTTTACTCAATTTGAGATTGAGGCTTTGCAGGTCAGTTTTTCGTAAATGATTTATTTAGTTTGCAGGCATCATTTCCCATCTCCTAGTTGACCTACATGGTTGTTTGAGCATTCATTTTTGTATCATTACTTTGAGTTAATATAAATTCCTTCACTCTAAAATTCATGTTTTTTTTTTTTTTTTATAACTGTGAAAAGCAACATGAAAATAACTCAGTATTGATATAAATTATGCAAAGAATCATTATATTTAGTAGCAAAAGTGCATTGTTTTCATAGTTTCTTTCTTTTTATTTTAGCATGGCAAAAGTACGTGTGACTTAGAAACTGTATGGGGCTCCCTTGTGTTTTAG